GTGGCTAGAAAGAGGTCACGGGGGCAATGTGGTGGAGCTGGTTCCTCTGAGGTATAGCATAATTTTTAATAAACCCCTTTTGATGACTTTCAGGGAATTTTCAGTGTTTCAATGTTCCTAAAACATACCCCATTGAACACATTTGCTTATAATTGCAGGATAAACTGCTAAAAAGAGAATTGCTAGGGAGCACGTATTTCTAATTTTAAAAAGTTGCCCTTTTTTGATGTCTTGTTAATTGCATGCCTTACCAATGTATGAAACAGTACTAATTTCTTTACATCCATGCCAACACTATGAAGTTTTAAGTGTTTTCAATCTAAGTGACAAATACATTACAAATGTAGTATATATTTGCAGTCCTTTTTTCATGAGTGAGAATATTATTTGAGGTTCCTTTTGTATTTTCTATATGTTCATATACTTTATATATTTTTCCATTAGCTTACCTTTTAAAAATTATTTATAGGAACTTTTTATTTACTGATTCAATTATTACTTTTTGAAGTGCTTTTTTCAAAGATATGAGGGAGGGTGGGTGGGTGATGTCATTAAGTATGTATTTTTTGTGCACAACCATTGGAATCTATGAAACAATCATGGACAATGATTTCATTATTTTATTTCCAACTTTCTAAAATTGATGTAAAAATTAGAAGGCTCTCCTATAATCTTGGGTGATGAAAATGTTATTTCATACTTTCTTTATAAATTCCATACAACTTATTTTTTTTGTACTGCTATTTATTTCCTTACTGAGATTAATGTTGGTTTATGATACTGTACATGATTCAGAGGTATGTGTTCACACCTTTTCAGATGTACTTTAGCAAAGCACATCCAACAGCAAGGCACACATAATCTCTACCACAGCTGAAATTAGTGATTTTGCATTCTTCAGGTGGATAACTAAATGTATGATAGAGAACTTATTTTTTATACTCATGTGTTAGAATCTTAATGGCTAACTTAATGTAGAGAGGTTGATTTATAGTAATGCACATCTAAAATTATATATTGTTAAAATGCAATGATACTGCAAGTAAAAAATTCTAAAAAGTGTTAAGTTAAATCTAATCAGTTTTTTACTAGAAATTCTCATTAAAATATATTATTTTATCTTAAAAAATTCTTCTTAAGTATTTGTGACCTGATAACATATAAGTCATATATTTTTTAAATATGCTGTTAATAGTTTTGGTTCACACACGTTGACTATGTAAAAAAGGATCAGTGAGAACTCTTCATAACAGAAGACTTTTCAGATCACAAGGCTTTCTGAGAAATGGGATGCTACTAAGGTCTTAAAAATTTCTCTTGTCTAAATCCCTTCTGCTCCAGGTTGGATGTGAAGTAGCTTGCTAGACAGTCTTTCTCACAAGCATGTGGAGAAAATGATATGGGCCAGGTGAAGTGAACTGAGATGACATTCCCATAAAATCTACACGTGTTCTGTGTGTGTGTGAGAGAGAGAGAGAGAGAGAGAGAGAGAGAGAGAGAGAAAGAGAGAGAGAGATCAAGAGAGACCGTCCTTGCTTGTGTTTTTTTTCTAGGTGGGAGGAGAAGCCGGCACTGCATACATCTCAGTGCGGCAAATTTCTGACCAGATGTCTCATTTAAAGGCATTATGTCACTTGACTGATATTCTTAAGGTAATCTAAAGTGGGAGGATAAAAATTTGCATATTTTCTTACCAAATGGTAGAACATGATGCTAACATTTGTTTTTTGTTTTTTTTTTTTTCTTTAAATTTATTTATTTATTTTCTTACATTGTTATTCATTTTGGTACAGTAATTGGTTTTTCACCTCAGGTGCAGTCCCAGTAGCTCTCCCACCTCCATAGCACCCTTGAACCTTCACCATAGTCCCTTGTGCTCTTCCCTCCCATGTTGTGACTCCTCTCCTCCCCCCGCCCCTGCTGCATATCTCAGACCTATGGCCAGTTTGAAAGTTTTGTCTTTCTCCTGACTCTTTGTTTGATTTCTCTACATTCCACATATAAGTGAAACAATCCAGTAACTATCTTTTCCTTCTGACTTACTTGGCTTCATAATGCCAACATTTATAAAGAAATATGAATTTGCATACCATAATCTTCCCTGTTACAACATTTTGTAGAGTACAGCGGCAGAGGAACAGTGAGTGTCCTAAGTGGAATTGAAGGACCTGGATTCAGTCGTCCTTCTAGTGGGCGATACGTGTCAGGACTCACATGTGTACGTATGATTCCATGAAAGTAAACAAATAAATAACCCAGATTTTGATTAAGAGACAACATTGTTTCCAGTAAACTTCAGACTTAGATATTTACGTTAGCTCTATTGCTTCCAATAAGGGGTTAATATTGCTTCTGTGGAACTGTAATGAAGAAGCATCATTTCCCAGGGTGATGGTGTCATGGAGACTGGCATGCAGGACTCCTGCCCCAGTGTTCTCTCTTCCTTACACAGCCTTAAGGTCACGTCAAAGATTGGAGAACTCCATTGTTCCAGAGACTTCTCCTGACACTTAACTGTCATGTGCCAGTAGCAGTAATATCTAAGGTCACTGTCACAGTCCAATCAACCTGCCTTCTTTTATATTAGCCAAAACTGACTGCACACTGTGGAAGTGACTTGAATTCTCTGCAGCAAAGGCTGCATCAAAGGAATATTTCAAGATGTTTCCTTCTTAGGAAATACATTTTTATGAGGCACCATGAAAAAAGCATTTCATGAGAAAAATCTTTAACAGCTTCGTAAATTGAGGGGCATCATTAGATTTTGTTTCCCTAAATGTTGACATTGCCTGTATGCACTCCACTGTGATCCCTCTAGAGTCTATGCACGGGAGATCATAGGTAGGGAGATATAGGCTTTGAAATCATGTCAAATCAGGCAAGTGGGTAAGTTTTAGTGTCATCTTCTAGGACATTAGAGGAAATATGTCTGGGGAAAATGGTGAGACTTTAAGATGACTTTGTTTTTAATCTGTTCTCAAGTTTATAAAAGATAGCTCTTTGCTTGTAGATAATTCCAATATTGTATGTATCTTTTTTTTTTCTCAAAAGTCACTTAAAGTTGATAAAAGAGAATGACTTATATTCATAGACACAATTATCAGGAACTAAAAAAAAATGCTATCTGGTACTTTGCATTCTGAATCAGAGTGACAGATTCTCTTTTGAAGTTAATGAATGGCATATCTTATCAAGAGTATGTGAAACTAAGGTTGGGATCAAAAGAGGATATCATTCTTACAGCTCATGGTAGTGACTGAAAAAAGTCAGAACCTAATTTTTCAATTATTCATCTCCACCAACACTGTTCCATTATGTATCCCACCCAGGATTTGAAACTGCTAATGGTTTCCTACCATCTGCCCAGTACCTCCTCCCACACCTACACACAAACCGAAGCTACAGAGTAATGATTCTGAAATGGGTTATCAGACATTAGGGCACACCAGAGCTTCAGAGTTTCTAAAAGATAATTCTTGAACCTCAAAGTTTCTGATTCAGTAGATTTGGGTGGCACTTGATTATTTTCATTTTTAATAAATTCTCAGGGGATGTTAACTAGATTTATATCAGAAGCAGAATTCCTAGTCTCAAACAAACGGGCCATGTCACTCTCTGCCAACGAGTCCTTTAGCAGATTCTGACTCACCATAGTTTAAGCTCGTATCATCCATCATCACCTCGATCTTCCCCAATTATTTTATATTACACTATTCCCTGCCTCAACATTAAGGTTTAAAATCTGTGTAGAGGTGACATATATAGACACAATCAGACTTGCACACCTGTGTGTATACAAAGAAAAACTTATTTCAGTGGTATCAACATTGTATATACATAATAAAGTGTACAATAATATCTATAGCAAATTTCATATAGCCAATTGGTTCTTATATAATGCTTGTGTTGATTTTTCACTGTACTCTTCTACCTGCAATCAAAGTCTTTCCTATATTCTTTATCTCCCTATTTTATATACAATGAAAAAATTATTCTTAACACTTATTAGAGAAAACGCTTCATGTAGACTTGGTCTACAGGCCACAGTTTGCCAATCTCTGTTGGATTTCAGGCTATCCAAGGAACATCACTGAAGATAGAATTGGGATAAATGCACTATGTATGACAGCCCAATGTAGAGTATTTATACCACACAGATACAACAGAATTAAAAAAAAAAAATCAAGTAGGTACAAGTAGATCCCTAGGTAGGTAGGTAGGTAGGTAGGTAGGTAGGTAGGTGGTAGACAGGCAGATAGATGAATTAAATGATTAAGAATAGATGAATGTATTATCTTCTAAAATAGTTTAATGAATTGTAAGTGTATAATATTTCTTGATCTGAACTACAAAGATACCTAAAGCTTGAGATTCAGGATGCAGAAATTTTTGCAATTTCTTTGTTTTGTAGAGTCGGTGCATTCCCTTGGCCTCTTTTACAAGAAAACAAGGAAAGACAGCAATTCATGTGTTTTTAGTCTAGAGTTTGCATAGGAATGAAGTTAAAGACAAGTGCCTATAGTGCAGATTTTACATTCCTTTGGACTTTGTTTATAATTTCCTTTTTGTTATTGAGGCATAATTGACATCTTACATTTTATGAGCATAATTTCAGTATCTTCTTTTATCCTAGTTAATTGAAGTTAATTTTTGAAAAAAAGAATGACTGAGTGTAACCATGAGACTAGATGGTGGCACAGGGAGGCTGCAAGCAAAAAAGTAAGAAATAAAGAGGAAACCTGCTGATTTTAAATGCACACAATCAGCTGATGCTTTGTGAGCTAACACCAGTGTTGGCAAGGCATCTCCCCAAGCTCACTGCTCGCCTTCTCACCAAGGACCACTCCACTGCAGGAGGCTGAGGCTTCCATGCAGGGGGAAGTAACTACAGGGGGAGATTATCAGGGCCTCACAACTTCTCTCAACTCCTCTTTTGTTTATAGATTTTCTTACTGATCCTGAACGAGGGGCCCACGGACATGCAGGGAGAGTCAACTCACCTCATAGTCAATGTCTAAGGCATCCGCCTCGCCCTTGGTTCGGAAGTGCTGTGTGTGCTTGTCCACAGTGAAGTTCACCAGCTTGCCGACTCGCTCAATGAGGACCGAGTGCCAATGCTGGTCGTCCAGGAGGCTGCCCAGGGTGGCCGAGGGAGGGCTGCTGCTGAGCCGAGGTTTGCTGTCTTCTGTGAAGGGGAGAGAAAAATGTTTGGCATTGGTGCCCAAGGGCGGCCTTGAGTACTGGCTTGGTATGCAAGCAAGGTCTGCTCTTTCTGTTCTACAGGGAAGGAACAACTCTCTCTGCAGGTCCAGAACTGTGCTGAGCTTTGGAAAGAATAACAGCTTTTTTGTTTGTTTGTCTTGTTTTGTTAGGAAAAACAAGTTCTGACTACAAATACCAGGACCAAGCTCTAGGTCGACTGACATACACATCCACTTCTAGACATGAAATGATATGTTCTGAGCACTTGAACAATGAAATAATAAAAGGAACTCTATGCTAGTGGCTAAGTTAATAACATTGAAAATGGGGGTTATCACATTTGGAATAATACCCATTCTTTGCCTTTGAGTGGCTCTTGAGTGGAGAAAGCTGATCTTGAGTTATGTTCTGGAGGAGGAAATGAACACTGGGTAAAAAAAGGGAAGACAGTGAGCATCCTAAGTTAGGTCAGTTTCCGGGCAAGGGTAAAGGCAAAAATCCAATCATTTCAGCTGCCATTTTGAAGGGCATTGGCACTTACTCAGGGAATTTATATTCTCTGTTTTTAAACCTCTGAGAGATTATTTGCATTTCACAAGCAGGGAATCTAAGGCTTAGTGCAGTTAGGGTTTGAATCCAGGCTCTGTATCTTTTTTCTCTGACCATTAGGGGAGCAACCCTGTTTTGAATCAAATGAAACTCCATCTTATTGCTAAGACGCCATGTTGAGACTTCTAGGTGGAAATTAAACAGCCTGACTCAGCCATTCAGTCACTAATATAAATTGAGATCATTTTCCGATCATGTCAACAGACCCGACACAGCAGCCTTCCGTTTGAAGACTGCACACCGATCATGGACAGACAGATGGACTTCAGAACCAACCCCAATATTCTCATCAAAAATCACCAAAACTGAGACCACATTCCTGCCTGATCCTTTAAAATTCCCCTCTGCCTGTATCCTGATGAGGCATATCTTAAAACTGCCCCTTAGTCATGAACCTAGCTCAGGGTTTCTGTTTTGAATAGATGATCTTTTGATGATTATATTGCACCTTGATTATTTTCTTGGGTTGACACAGGACCTGGTTGTGTTTTGATTCAGCCAAAATTGAACCCATGGGACAATGTGAGAGGTTCAGGTAGAAGGTATATTTTCAATCAAGTCTGCCTGGCTTCCCTTCTCTGTCTCTCCTCCAATTTTATGGAAGTTCCTGCTTGTACTCTTTTATAAAAAAAGATTAGAGCTTTTTTTCCCCTTCACAGTGGCTCAGACTTAGCAAAATGAACAGTTAAATTCAACTAATTATTACTTATGTAAACATTTTTACTTTTTTGGGATCATTTAATATATATGCTCCTCTTAGAAACTCAAAGCTAAATGTCTCTCCACCAGCCTAAGATGTGTTTTGCCAGAATAGCTGCAACAGCCTTCTCAACAGAGTGACATTAAGGGGGCTGGAGCTGCCATTCCCCCCTGCAGCCTGCTACTCCCACCTCCATTATGTCCCTACCTCACTGCTTCCTCTTTGAAGAACACATCTTGCTTAATAGGGGGTGGGGGCAGGACAGCAAACTTATTGTAATTGAAAAATGAGAGCTGGAGAATTCATAACTGACTTTAATCGATTGACTTATTCATTGCTAGTTATTCCACAACTTTTGAGTTCTCACAATTTGTCAAATTATGCTAAAGAAATAACATGTTTCTTTTTTCTTTTTCCATCCTTCCCTCTCTTTTCTCTCTTTTTATTCCTTTTCTCCCTTCCTTCCAAAAAAGTTATTGATATCTACCTGGGCTGGCTACAGCTCCAGTGACAGGTAATATATAAATGAGATAAAGGAGCTGCAGAGTTAAAAGCACACTCCCCTCTCTGAAGGTCTTGCTGTGGAAACTCTCAGTAAGTAGGCCGAGAAGAGGTGTGCCTGCAGGCCAGGACGTGCAGCGCAGGGAGCCGTGGGGGTGCTCATAGAGCAGCCACAGACCTGAGATTAGGGCAGAACAAGGAGCCTTGTGCCCAGCCAGGGGACAGAAGGGGGAGCAAGTGGAGGGATACCATGCTGAGAACACCAGGGCACATGGCTTATACCATCCAGGACCAGCATGGTGCTTTACAGATTATATTTTACTATTAAGGCGTAGGAGCCACTGGTGAGTTAGTAAGCATGCAATTACTAACTCAGATTAAAATTTAAACATTTTCTTCTAGCAGCAGTGTGAGAATTTGGTTAGAAGGTAAGGCTGGCCCTAAGATTGACAGTCATCTAAATGGGGAACATGAGGGATTAGATATAGAGAACATGGGATGAAAGATTTCTAAGTGATGGGAAGGGGCTAACATATGGTGGCCTCTCCTGTCACTTTGATTTTGGAAGTGGAGATAATGAAGGAAATAATTTCTGAGTTTTTCCTTAGCAGCTGGGTTAAAAAGTGGTACTAGCCATGCGATAAGACAGAAACAAAGACCTCTTACCTCTGTCTCTCTCTCTCTCTCTCTTTCATCATATATACACACAACTTGTATTCATAAAATAAAACTTGACCAAGAGCTGAGAAACAATGTGCCTTATAACTCTTTGATTTTAGGTAATAACTCAAAAAGATTTAATATTAGATTTCTGTCTTCGTTGTGCACCTCACTTTTTTTGAAAAGGAAAGGCAATATAACAATCATTTTGTAATATAAGTCCAAAACATGAAAATCTAAAATTATAAAACCACTGTAAGTCACAAAATGAAAAAAAGCACATCATTCTGCCCACACCACCACTTATTTATTTTCTGTGCTGATTTTTGCGGGATTTAGTGATATATTGAGTTATTTAATAGAACCAGTAATGCAATTATAATAAAATATTTCAATATTTTTTAAACTATGATCCCTGCTTCAAAAGATAAATTTATTATGAATTAGGTCATACTGACTATAACTTTTATATTTCTTTTTAAAATTTATTAATGATTTTCCTCTCAAAGTTGCCTTCATCTGCTCATCTTTCATGTCCCCTCAGGTAATCACTTTTGCTAATGTCTTATTTCTCCTTCGGTGAAAACTTTAGGCATATGCAAGTCAACAGAAATGTCTATTATTTCCTATCATTTACTTTGCAACTGTAATTATGCACTATAATGCACGTTTTTTCTGTACCTTTTCATTTCCATTTAATCTGTCCAGGAATGGGCCTCCCCGGTGGCACAGCGGTTGAGCGCTGGGTTGCAAAGCTGCCCGCAGCCTCTGCAGCGCCGGTTCAATCCCTGGCACCCGGGTGAGGGTCCCACATGGCACGCAGACCTCTCCTGCCGCCCACTGCTCCCCTCAGCAGTCTACTTCGGTCCTTCTGCCTGTTCTGCTCCCTGCTCTGGCTCTGGTGAATTCTCTCACCCTCCCGCGCTTCTGACTGTACCCAGTGCTTGTATAAATATAATAAATAAATCTTAAAAAAAAAATCTGTCCAGGAAATTTCTTTATATTAGTATGTAAAAACCTTTCTCAATCATTTTATACAGCTATCTAGCATTCTACTGAAATACACACACATACACACACACTTTTTTTTTTTTAACCAGTTTCCTACTGGTTATTCATGGTTTCAAGGTATTGTTAATATCTGATAAAATACCTCATGTACAGAGTGCATGTTTGCATGTATGCTACCTTCACTGTTGCATGCATTCTTAAGCGAGGAATTGGTAGTCAAAGATTTTCACATTTGCTATTTTGATATCCAATGTTAAATTGCCCTCTATAAAAGTTGAACCTATTTTAAGCCTTGCTAGTAATTTATGAGCGTGCTTTCTCTCCATAGATAGTCAAGAAAATATTTTCAATCTTTTGGAATTTTGCCTGTTAGGTTAAAATACACACACACACACACACACACACATACACTCAGAAATGTAATCATTATATATGTGTATATATACATTTATTTATCTGTGGATGAGATTGAAACTTTTTTATTTCCTTTTTTGTGAACTATTCCCTCACATCCTTTGACTGTTTTCCCCAACCATCTCTTATGTGTTTGCATTTATTGTCCTAATATGAATTGTGGCAATATTTTTTTGCAACTCTTCACTTTGTCTTTTCTGTTTTCTTTTTTATTTGTCATTAAGATATGCCCACATTAAAAATCCCATCATTTTCTTATATTTTTATGGCCTTTGGATTTGTGTTAGATTTTAACAAATCCTCCTCATTAAAGAATTCTCCCATTTTTTTCCTACTTCATTTCATTCAGATTTTTTCTGACATACGGTAAGAATAGAATTCTACTTCGATTTTACATTTTGAGTGGTTTCCCAATTTCATCATTTTAAATCTCTGATTTTTAAGGGTATGCCTTTCATATAAAATGGCAAATACTACTCAATTAGATGACTTCATTTGCTGCCTCTATCAACTCAAGATTCTCTCAGTTCATAGACTGGGTTCCTTAAATCATGGAAATTTAATTTGTAAATTGCCAAGTTGGTTGTTGCCACCATAATCTCATCCATAATCACCTCCTACCCACCATCTTACTGGGTCAGAACATTTGAAGAGTAGAAGCAGAGACAGAATTGCTAATCTCATCATTAATCTCATCAACCCTTTCTCTCTAGTATTATAACCTTGACTCAGATAGTTTGCCACAATCATTCCATCTAATAATCCCACTCATAATTTTAAGATATCAGATGAGTAGAAGTGTACATCTTCTTAAATAAAATATAGTTTCTTACTTCATTTCTTAATGAAACCATAAAACTTAATTAACACACTTACCTTTTCATGCAAAGTAGCTTATGATATTTTCATGAATACTAAAATAAATGTGTTGACCTTTCCTCAAAAATAGATTAATATTAGTCCTTGTTTACAATTCTCATTTACTTAGTCAACATTTTCATTGCCCAAAGATAATGCAAAAATAAAATCCAAGCAAACTTTTGGGGGAAAAAACCCTGTCAACGGCTAGTGAGAAACTTAAAAATGCT